TATCAGCATATTTATTATATATATATATATATATAAAAAAACCTACTCTCATATATATATATATATATATATGTTTTTATAAATACATTTTCTCTTTTCGATTGTCATGAAAAAGGCGACATTATTCAAGTCCTGCATTAATATTTTGCAATTTATTTACATATATATTTAAAATATATATGTATATCTATGCATTTGTATGTTTAGGCAATTTTGCAAAAATCCTCGGTATCGGTAGAGATCGAGGTAAGACCAAGACAACTGGTGCCAGACACGAACTGCTTCATCGACTACCTACCGCAGCTGCAAATCATCGCGAGAGCCACTTCCGGTGCGCAGCCAATCTACACTCTCATGGTACCACTTGTCGGTAAGTGAAAACAAAAGTTAACATATTATTAGCGCGAAAGAAGGATCGACACATGCTTGGCCTCCGACCTCGTCCATCATTTTTTTGATCGAAGATCGTCGGTTATCTCGGAGAGAAGATGGATGCTGCAATAATATAGTTTAGATTAATATCTCTTTTCCTTTCTTCAAAAAACCGCGTATCTGTGAAATAATGATACCGATGAATAACGAGAAAATCTTTCTATCTTTATAACCGTCATTTATTTATATCAAATGAACAAAAATAAAGGAGAATCTCAGTTTGTCGTAAACTTGACTCTATCTCATCGCCATGCTATTTCGTTTATCTCGTAAAAATCATCTATCTCAAAGATTGGAGATATCTCGCCATTGCGAAACGATCCTCATTGAACGTAAAATCGTAATCTTTGGGAAGAAAATCGAATATCTCGATTGTCGTAAAATCCTCATAACTTTTTTTGAAATCGCCTACGACGTGCCGGAAATCTACAGGATCTCGATAGAGGAATTCCTGTTTTTACATATAGATTAAATTGCCTCCATCTTTTCGGTCGTCAGCGTGTACAGTTAAATCAGTTATTATAGCACTTTAATCATCTATCGGCGCATCGAACGTATCTGTGAAATATCTGAAAATATCGTACAATGACCAAACACACCTTCCCGAGGATTGTGTCCAGATAATGTCATCGAAGAGAAATGACGCGACCAGTCGGAGGTCGCGTCTCGGGTCAAAGCAATCGCCGGCGCGCAAACACGCTCGATTCGCCTTGTCTCCCGACAGTTAAGGCGCTGTGGAGTCGCCGACGATCGTCTATCCGTTGATCCCTAGCGGAGAATAGTTCATTAGGTCATCGTCATTACGCGTCACTTGTCGCACAACTTTCCAGTCCCCTCGCTCCCCC